ACCGTACGTCGAGCGGTTAAGATTTGTGCCCAACTGTTGACGGACGGACGGACGGACGGACGGACGGACGGACGGACGCACGCACGGACGATCATGCGATTCTACAAGCTGCATCTGACTATGTCAGATGAGCTAAAAATTAATGCCATAATGGTAAATAAACACGAAATGTACCAAAGGTACCGTACCCAGGGTACGTTCCGGCAGTACCCTAGGGGACATCACAGGCACTTGGAACGTCTCAATAAAAAAAAAGTAAATAAACACGAAATGTACCAAAGTCTTAATGTTTCTCTACTCTATTTCGCCTATAATCACCTGTAAGTGCCAGTCAAATGCTCATCTGCAACACGCAAGTACATCGCACGCGCGCGCTGCGCACAAACAACATGAATACGAGATATAGCGCCCCCTATTTTCAGGCAAATGTTTACCTTTTTTGTTTTCTTTTTTACGGTTTTTAACCGAGTATAGTTTAGAATCCGTTCCGTGTATTCATCGATCTCTTCTGTGAATTTGGCGCTATTTGGATCCAAACTGACGGAGCCTTTCATTAACATACATACATACAACATTCGCCAAATTAATGTAAGATGGACAGCCTTCATTCTGACTACGACAATTCTCTTTTTAGTAGAACAATTATTTTTTTTTTTAATTTTTGGATCAACAGGGGGGCCATGGCCCCCTTTGAACCCACCCCCCTAACTACGCCACTGCTAATTAAGTGGCAGTTAAATACAGTCAACCCACCTCTGTAGAACTGCAACCTGTCTATAAGAGACAGGACACACAGCGTTTCCCTAGGGTGGCCCTTACACACAGGTGTTATATAGTGTCCTGTCTGTCATACCTTCTGCTCTGCAGCGCTCGTCAGATGCTGTAGTCTGGTGGTCATGTTAGAAGGACTCTGTTCAAACGCTGCCACGACGTGACCCTGCAAACCAACAATTACGCACCACGTGAACATGAGCAGTCATTGATATATATAAACACGATATATATATATAT